ATTTGGGTACCACACAAACTCACATAAAGAAACCTAATGAATCATGTACTCATTTGCGATTCTCTATTGAAACGTAATGAAACCAAACCATTTTTGAAAAGATTGATTGATCACTGGTGACGAAAAGTGGATCACCTACGACAAGAACGTGTGAAAAAGAAGGTGGTAAAAGGGTATTTAAGTTCCACAGACTGTAGCTAAACCCGGATTAATTCGCAATAAGGTGATGCTGTGTGTGGTGGGATTGGCATAGTTTATTATGAGCATTTACCGCTGGGCGAAACCATCGATTCAGAACTAGTAGCGGGCGGCGTACGGTTATTTCCCTTACAAACTAGACCCAAATAGGGCCGAAAAACAAGTGTTTTTGCATCACAATCTTCCTGTCTTAAACTTTAAATATTAGTAATAATTATTTCCATTGTAGACTCTTATGTACGTTCTAAATATTTCTGCTGCTTCTCATGTTTCTGATGTGTTAATGTGTCTAATATAATAATAATGATGAATAATGAAACTGGCTTTTTGTCTTTATTTTTCTCTGGAATATAGTCGAAGCTCGGCCGAACCCTAAAAAAGGCCGAATCCGCCGAGTACCGAATCCAAACCGAGTGCACGTCCCATGTCTAATCTAGACTCAGATTTAGATTTCGAAACTTTAAATATTATATTGTGTTTTTGAAATGCATTTTAATAAAACTGGTAAACATTGACTTGGTTTTAGTCTGATAACAGTTTGTGTATATTTTCTAAAACTTTTAAGGTAAAACCAGTTACGTTTTTATTTTTTTGATTATTATGTGAAACATAATAGTTAATAACTATGTAAATATGTTTCACAGATGGTCTATTGGAAGAGAATATTTAAAAAATACATTTGAACACGAGAAAAACAGAATTTTAAGATGTTCAGGTAAAACGTGTTAACTGCTCAACCTTTCCCTTTTTTTAATTTTCTGCAAAATTTATTATTAAAACGGCTTTTTTTTTCTTTCAAATTACTCTTTCTTAATAATCGAATTATCATTAAACGTTATTATCAACGTCGCATGATGCGACTGTATTGGAGTTATGAGTTTTCAAACTTTTGGAAGCAGTTTTCTCAAATTGGCAAAATTGACAGATAATTGGTTTTACCAGTAAACCCTCGATATGTAGTGGCACATCTCTATCGACTAGCGTCTGTACAAGCGCGAATGTCCCGCAAAGCCAACTTCAGCTCGGCCAAGATAGAATGCGCGGACCGCACGCATACATCAACTCGTTTACATTCGTTTTTAAGCCTTAGTTGCTGACGTTCGGTTGGTCTGTAGTCGGCGTAACAGAATTTACAAGGCAATTGTACAATTACAATATAAAAAGTCAAACAGAATATTTTTAATATATTTATTAATACAGAATTTACATACAAAACGCATATCTCATAATAATGACATGTCAAACCTAGTGATGTAAATGCTAAACATGTAACATTTATTAAAAATATTCCAAATGAAAACGAACCGTATCAATATCGAGACAAAAACAATAAATAGATCTTAAAGCTTTCAGGGCAATAAAATAAATCGGGCAAATTTCTACATAAGCAACTGCACATAAGCCGCACTGAGAATTTGTCACTATCTTTACGCTAGACAATGCATTAGATTACATTGTATTTTACATTTGGCTTATACAAGATTTTTCTTTTATTATAACACGTATGATTATTTATTGTTTACATCGCAACTTATCGCAAGCCATATAGAAGATATGCATGGAAATTACCCTAATTTACCAATGTCGCCTTTTACCGCCTCTCACTCGCGGGAGAAATGAAGTATACACCAGCTCCACCAAATCTAAGAAATACCTTTTGACAGCTATCACATTTATAGGACTAGGCATTCCAAATGAAGAATCAGTATCTACAATATTCGATTCGTAAGAGATATCGATATCTAATCTTTAGAGTTAGTAATCATTTACAGTATATCTAGATTAATACCAGAATAAATTAATAACAGATAACTCAAAACACATATGTGATCAGTTTTTCATATTTATTGCTTACTACTTAAGAGGTTTGCAGTGTAGGTCTGCATTGTACATCCCAGCATCTTATAAACTTACTCGCAATTTCGCCACAGTGGGATGCACAGAAATTATAAAAAAAATATACTTATTTAATTCATGATTCATATAATTTACACAACTCTAAAAATAAAAATAATATTAACAAATAAAAAATGAAAACGCGTTCGATTATTTGAATCATACAAACACTATGGTAAGGTGCATATCGATATATCATTGAAACAACTTCAAGCATAAAAGTTCCTTCTGGTTTATATTTTTACATTTTGGTTTGTTTGAAATATTCACATTCAAATTAGTGATAAAGAACTATTTATCATGTTGTAATGAAATATAGATAACTTTATAATTCTTAAAATTTTACTTTAAATCGTGAGTAAGCTTGTACAAAGTTATTGCGGAATGAGTAAAGTAAAGTAAGTCAAAAGGCATTAAATATATATATAAATATGTATAAGAGGGGACGGCAAACACCTCAGTCACCCCCATGACCATGGGTGCTGTAAAGTACTCGAAACGTCGGGAATATAAAATAAGTTAATATACGCGATAAAATGCATAAATCTAATTTTATTTAAAGGTATTTCCTAGGTTTGGTTGAGGGTGATGATTGTTTGATTTACGCGAATACTACATATTAAATAAAACCAATTTTACAGGTTATATCGCGTTTCATTTAAATCTTTCACAATTTGCGACACTTTAGGGATCTCTTGTGACCTATAGGGATATACAGCACCCGAAGCCATACAATTAGTTTTATTCATGTAAATGAAGTTATATATTAAGTGTGGAGGTAACACAGACTTGACTAGAGTAATTTGTGTGTAGACGTAAATTGAGTTTGTAGATGCCTCTTAAAACTGGTCAGTTGTTGTGGAAGTTGAAGGAAACTATCATTACGCGATTATAAGCTATTGGGTTTGCGATGTGTGCCTGTAAAATTTTCCAGTAGTTGACTTTCGATGTATATCTATGTGACTCAGCTCTACAATCTAGCACTAAATACTCTCAAAGTTGTCCATCAAAATAATCATCCAGTCTATTTGATAAATAAAAGCAAATTATAATTTGTAATACATTAAATAGAAACTTATTTTAAGGTTATATAGTATATTATATTTTATTTTTAAAACATTTCCTCCTTTATAGCAAATTTATATAATGCTTAATACAATTTTTGTCATACGGAACAATGCTAAATAATCCAATATCCTTTCGGCGCATTAAGTCCAAGCTAATCAAGTTGTAAGTTAAGTAAGCCACAAAATGAAGTGACGTCCAACAAATTTTACTAATAATTTACGTTACTTAAATGCATTTTTATAATTTGTAGTTAGAAGGGTAATCGGAGATATAGAGATTTCACTGCCTATAAAGCACATTGCTAAAACTCGCCTAAGAACCAACATATATTTGACAATTACCAATATTCTTATCCTTAATTATGCATTAGATAACATTCATTAGACAGTAACGGACACTTCTGAATTGTGAAATCAAAATAAAAAGGAATTTTTCGATTTTGAACTTTGGGCCTATTTTTTAATACTAATGTGCTGTTTATGGCCTCCTGTGATTTAGCCAATCGCACAATACCTTCACTCACATATTTCAAAAGTTGTCATAAACTCAAATATATTATGAAAACGTTTATATTTTAAAATATATCTCAGATTAATATATGCCACATGGAACTGGGTACAGTGAAATCATCTGTTTTCATTTAAAATAACAATATTATTTTACTCTCATTGGCCAAATCAGCATTGTGCCACGCAAAAAAAAGTCAATAACGTTGACAGATGACAACACGTCAAAATAGATAGAGGTCAGACGTGTGATCGTTTTGGTTTCGTTTGAAAAAATTCATTTCTGAAAATGTTTTCTGAATCTAAATGCACTGTGCAGTTGGTTTGTTATGCGATAAGTTTTTATAAATTACAACTCGGCTTGAACAACGGATATCGATACTGTTCTTTAGCCACTTACCTGGCTTGAATCACGGACTTTAACAAAATGAGACCGTCTAAGTTGTATTTATTTGGTATGAATAAAATAAATACCTAATCACAACCTGCGTTTTATTTACCGTATAAATTCTAGGCAGAGACTGAACTGCTTACATTAGCAATAACATAGTAATATTTCATAAGAATAAAACATAACCTCAAAATCTCTATAATAACTGCTAATATCTAAGTTTCCAGAAGTGTCCGTCAGGAGTTATTGTTTTTACATACAATTATGTGTAATTTTGGACTTAAAAAGGTATTTTTATTCACTGTTGGTTCTTAGGCGAACATTGTCTGGACGCAGAACAATGGTCCTTTGGATGTAAAATATTTTGAAGCAATCAATAATAGTTTCTTTTTTGCGAAACTAAATATTAAACAGTACTACATGTAAATATATTATGTCCACAGGTGGTTGGTCCAATGAATTATTGTACATAGAGGACCAGATGGAACAGCATTATCATTAAAACAGCAACAAACTTCACGTGATGAACATTCAAGTTATAATTAACTTGAATGCTATGCTTAATTAGGCAATGTATAAACATTGTCTAAATAAACAGGCTTTACACTTAAAATTACCACAATTGCATTGCCTTAATAAAAAGTATTTTCTGTTTAAATGCAGTTTTTTATAACACACACACACACACTGTATTCGTTCAAAAGTAAGAAGTTTGGTTTGGAAGTTAAAACTTCATTTTTTTATTTTCATTTGAAAACCACGTGTAATGTTTGCAGCACTTATATTTTAAGGTTTTCTGAACAAATATTAAATCATATCTGTGTCACTTCACGTTTTCCAAGCTATAATGGTCTATTCTAAAACGAATAAACATAAGGATATTTCGTCGCCGCCTCAAGCCACTTGCCAAGCCGTTGCCGGCGGACTTAGAACAGCTTTCATCATGAGCACGCCGCTTTCGCTGCCTTCACAGCTGTAATAAAGAAATACAAGTAATTAAATTCTAATATATCGAAGTTTATTTATTAACGTTACATAGCTCCATACATAATAAGCAACAGATAAACTGCATAAAGTATGTTTTTCCTGACGGTATTTAAATCAAAAACTACTTCAATACATGATTGGAAACCTCCACCAAGCTGTTTCCAGAACAATTACTGATTTTTAAATCAACTGCCCCCATAGCTGTAAACCTCTTTACATTACATAATATTTATTATATGTTTAAATGAAGCTACATAACTCTGGTTCACGAAGGTATCGAGGGACAAAATATCCAGCAGTATTAGAGCTTTGCACAACGCTATCATTCTTGAACAGCAAATTATTAAACGGTATTCACACAAATATGTTTATTTTGCTAACAACCTCTTTGACAATGATGAGCGTGTGCAAGTGGGTGCTATTTACATAGATTTCAAAGAGGAATTTAACAAGGTCGATTACGTCATTCTTTTCAATAAAATCGAGTTTAATGGCATAAGGGGAAATCTTATGTTTGTTTACATCTAAAATATCAAACCGTACACAAAAAGTTGTAGTAAAATAGCAATTATTTCCATTATTTATGCATTTTTTCCGGTGTTCCTCGGGGATAATACCTGGACACACTCCATTTATCTTATACATTCATGATATTAAATTCTGGTTTAAAATGTCTTATTTGTTCTGTATGTTTACGAAAACATTAAAGCCGAATGGAGTTGTGTGTTTCAGGAGGACCTAAACATACTCTCAACTAGGGCATCGAGAACCGGTCCCTTTCCAGGAACCGGTTCTTTCGGTTCTAAAATTTAGCTGGAACCGGGTACCCGGTTCTTTCGGTTCTTTTCTTTCTTTTAGGTTGGAGGCTATTTCGTTCAATGTGAATAACGATAATAATATTCATAAAGAAAACAGTTTATTGCAAATCGTAGGTTAAAGTAATTATTCAAGTAATAATTGCAATAGTTTCTTTCTAATTAAATATAATCAAACATCTCACTAAGTAGGAACATTCATTTTACAATTGCACGATGCACGTTAACAGTTATTTCACATTACTTACATAAAAATAGTTTGAAAGATTCTATTCTATTATAATATTACAATATTCTATCATAGAATATACTTTACGGACTGTTATTATAACAAAGCATAAATCAGTTCACTTATGAAAAAAATAGTTTTAATTAAACATTACTTCTTAATTTTACTTAAATAAAGAAAACGTAGAAAAATTAATGCCTGCACATTTTTATCACTCAAAGATGAGCGCAGCTTATTGCAGACGAAGACAATATTCACTCTGGCTCTACACTGGTGGGCGAAATAGTTTTTAAATGTTAATAACCTATCGATAAGTAGCACTCGTTGTCTTTGCCCATCATTTTCAAATAGAGCCATTTCAACTCAATTATAATTTCAATCAATTTAAGTCATTTTCTTGATCTGTCAATTCAGTGGCAGTATTAACAGCCTTAGACAGCTCTCTATTAAATTCCTCTTCATTTGTTAGGGGGATTCATGTAATTCAACTTCCTGTAGATTTTGACTTCCAATTGCTGTTTATTCAAGGGATACTTTTTGTCTAGCTTTCGTGCGATTTTGTTTATAAAATGAGGATGACTAGGATCTATCCTCGATGACGAATCAAAATGCCGATGTGTTGTCACACGTGAGGACTAAGATTGAATGCCTCGTTTCCAGTAACAAGGGGATCCGGTTTTCTACACTCACCATACGCAGCAGCGTATTCTGTGAGAGCGTGGTCCTACCCCTTTCTAGCCAACCCATTCGTGCTATACTATACCAGTAATATAGCAGCAGCATGGCTATACCACGTAAAAATTTTCAATTCCGTGTAACATTTCATCATTTGTAGACCGGAAAAGATAGTTGCATCGTCCATACTGGCAAAATGACTGTCAGGGTTGGTTAAGTATCGCAATATTGATGCTTGCATGTTTTTTATATTGTTTTCGCAATGCAGTGATCATTTTATTACTAAGATAAGTATTAATTTCAACGAATTTTCTTATAGCAAATTTTAAAGAAACATCGGCTGTAATCAATGTTGTATCGCGACGGAATAGAGCTTCTACGATAGTTTTAATAACATCCAATATCTTATTTAACTCTTCTATGTTTGTCCAGTCTTCCTCAGTAAATACCTACAATATCAGATTTAAAATCAATTAATGCTTTTGAGATTGTTTTTAACTTCAGAAATCGGCTTAACTTCGCGACTATGCTGCTCCAGCGTGTATTTACATCTAAAACCAAACAATATTATTGTCCAAAATCAGCTATGATATGCTTTTGAAGAATTTCGTCACGTTTAGTGGGGGAAGCCTTGAAAATTTTTACCAAATTATTACAAATCCTACTGTTTGCCATAAATAGCAGAAATGATTAATAATCACGTTATTTATAACACTACATTGCAGTGATATACTTTTTAAGAAACTTTGTAAAGGAATCGAAGGAACCGGGTTTTAAATTTTTGGAACCGGTTCTTTTACGTGACCCCTGATACCGGGAATTCCCGGTTCCAAAAGAACCGGTAAAACCGGTTCCGATGCCCTACTCTCAACATACACTGAAGAAGATTTATATTGCAATAAATATTTCTAAATGCAATTACATTAATTTCACTCGAAATAAAAACAATTGATTTCAATTATACAGTGTAACATAGCTTTGGGTAACATTACTTTAAAAATTTCGGTATACTGCTTGAATTAACTGCCACTTAATTAGCATGTTCCGAATGTCATAATTAAGCATTTAAAACGTATGGTTTTAAAAGGCTAGAGAAACATATTTCTCTTTTTAAAACTCTCATATCCTGTGTATTTTATTTTAGAAATCTTACAAAGTGTTTTTATGACAAGAAATCGAAAGAAAAAGGTTATTTAAACACTCCAGCGCTCTCTAATGTTTGGAAGGTTTTCTTTTCGAACAGACAAGCCCTATTTGTTTTGTAACGAAAAATTATTGGAAATTATGAATAAACTATTTTGCCTACTTTTTCCTGGGTAATATCGAACACGGCAACAACTTTCATAGTATATAGAAAGCTATTATTTGTGCTCGGTATATTAAGACATACATGCGCCGATACAAAGGGTCTCTTTTAACCTTCTTTTTTATAGGATAAGGGTGTTAAACCAAAACACATTCCACCTGATGGTAAGAAATCTACATCGATCCTTGATTACGAATCAAAATGCATATACGTCGTCACCCCTGAGGGCTAAGATGAAATACCTCGTTTCTAGTGAAAAGGCTCTCCGGTTTTCTAAACACACCATACAAAACACAGCAGCGTTAAGTTCAACTGAATTTATTGGCTCGATCTGATTCGGGATCCAAACTGAATCTCAGGATGAGCAGTCGCGTTTACAACTATTAAACCAACGAGGAGTTAAGATCAATTGAATACAAAACAATAACTCAGACAATTTATAATTCGAGAGATATGTTATGTTTTATATAAGCTCACCTTCCCGCTCTTTGCGGCGCAACTTCTTCCTGCGGCGGTCGATGGCGGCGAGCTCCGCCTTTACTGAGTGATATGCTTTACGTAGATCCGCCAGTCGCGTCGTGAGCACGTTTATACGCTTCTGACAGTCCCATGATGGATCTGCAGCAAATATTGAGTGTCAAAACAAACGTAACTCTAACCATTAACATATCAAAGCAACTTTAATCATGGGCGGTATATGGGGAAAAAAGTTCTCGAGTGGCGGCCTCATACCGGCGGACGAAGTGAAGGTTCAGCGAGCTATGGAGAGGGCTATGCTCGGAGTTTCTCTGCGTGATAAACTTAGAAATGAGGATATCCGCAGTAGAACCAGAGTGACCGACATAGCCCAACGGATTAGTAAGCTGAAGTGGCAGTGGGCCGACCATATAGCTCGAAGAACCGACAACCGATGGGGAAGAAAGGTTCTTGAGTGGCAGCCTCGTACCGGTAGGCGGAGTGTAGGGCGACCCCCCACGAGATGGAGTGACGACCTGGTAAGACATGCAGGAAGTCGATGGATGCAGGTGGCTCAGGACCGTGCTTTGTGGCATTCCTTGGGGGAGGCCTATGTTCAGCAGTGGACTTGTGAAGGACTGTAATGATTATGATGATGATATCAAAGCAATAAGGGAAGGAAAAATTAATTTATCTTTGATGGTCACTCAAAATGAAGTTCGAAATTGGAGTCATACAGTGTGTCCGGTCACGACCTAGCGATAATTCATCGACATTTCATCGACAAAAACACCCATATATGGGGGTCTACCTTGGTCTATCTTGTCGGAATGGACGCCATTTAATTTTTTTTATTCTTGTAGATAACTCTGCCAAAAGATGCAGATTTCTCTAGACAGAAATGTCCTACAGATGTAAATAAAAAATGTTATTTAACAGCAGCAAATAACATCTATCAAATAAAAATACACATCATGGAAAGTTTTCCCTACAAAATATCTTAAAAAAATTTACAATGCTAGGTTAAGTAAAAAAAAAAAGTTTTTTTTTTATTTTTCTCAACATACTTCAAAAACTAGACATTGATACAAACTTTTATAATACTGTCCTAATACTTAAGGATATTACTTACAAATTTACGTTGAAATTATTGTTCTTAATTGCATAACTCGAGAGTTAGGGCTGTTTGAATATAACCCTTTTGCGAGGGTCATATATGTAGAGCCTCATATAAGCGCTATTAATTTTCGATAATGGAATAAATAAAAATACACTATAACTTTTAAGAAACTTTTAATGGCATTAAGTATTATTATTAATTTAATAATTGTTCAAAATGTCCACCTCTATTCTGTATACAGGCCACTGACCTTAGTCAGCTTGTTGTGTTGCCCTTGATATTAAGGCTTTGTCGGGTCTTATGTCATCCGCAATCGTCATTACTTTGTTATCGTCATTATCTTACAAGTAAGTTGCCAAAAAATCAAAACGACTACTGTAATAGTTTAAGATACCCTGCATGTAAACAAAGTGATTAAATAAATTTATTATATTATTTGTCGAGCAGTTCTTGTCTGCTATTTGGGACTAGCATAAACCCTCTGCTTCATCCATCCCCATAAAAAATAATCCAGAGGTGTTAAATCCGGAGAGCGAGGTGGTCAAGCTACCGTTCCACCACGTCCTATCCATGGTGAATAATTTTCATTAAGAAAATCCTCCATGATTTCTCTAAATGTGTTCCTTAGAAATCTAAAAATCTTGGGTCATTAATTGTATTTGGTAATTCAATTGGTCCAATTAATTTGTCGTTTTAAAATTTTCCACACAACCCATTTTGACAAATGCAGCATCATTGCTATTCGCCTTACACTGACCCTGGGATCTCGGTAAATAAGTTGAAGAACTTTTTCTTCTTCTTGCACTGACACTATGCGGCAGCGTACACTTGGCGGCCTTTGGGTGCCATGTTGCGACAATCTTAAATGAATGTCAACAAGTTTGTCAACAAGGTTGGTAGGGAAGCCTCCATAGAAGACGAGAAGCCAGGCTTGCCTTATCAAACTGCTCAGTCAATAATATCAACTAGTAAAATAACTATTTCAAATTATTTCAAATTTCCCGCGCGCTCCTCTGTTCTACACAATTCATTAATCGTCGCGGCAAAACTGCGCGATACTGCTGTCAATGCTGAGTTGAGCAATTAGTCGTCTCTTTCGCACGCGTGGGCTTTTACTGGGCTTTCGAGAAGACGATCGCTCTCTTTCTAACTTATGGCAAAATGTTCTATAATGAAATATAAGTACGATAGTTTATATAGTAATTAGTATGGAGCCAAAAGCCCGGCTTTTGGTGTGAAGTTAGTCAAGCGCGGGGGCGCCCGGGCGATACGTTTGCAACTTCACATTTCAATTTTTACTCTGTGTGAGCTCGAGCGAACTAATATTGCGAGTTGAAAATTTAGGTTTTTTTTAAAGATTTTTAGTGAAAATGGAGGATAATAGTGTTCCTTGTGATGAATTGAAGTGTGTTAAAGTGCTAATCAGCGAGTAAAAGGTAAAATCTTTAAACTTTGCTGAGAAAAAAACAGCCCATATCCACATAAACAGTTATTAGTACAATTAAAACGTTCAACAACATTTTATGCGCACGTAATCAAATCTTTCAAGAAAGAGAGACGATTCGATTTAGAATATAAATAATTTTTTTTTTTAATTTTATACATAGTTTGTTTGTACTTTGTTCATGCTTTTCGTCATTACTTTGTTCTACATTTGTGCATGTATTGTATTGTATGTAAATATATTTCTCTTTCACTCAAGCAAACCCAAACGGTTTTTTCAAAGCCACCGAAGGTATGCATATAGTCATACAATCTATCTAGCAGTAGTATGCCTTTTGTGTGTGCTTTGTTAAATACGTCCTTTACAGCGCTGAATATGAAACTGAAGAGTGGAGACAGATCAAGACTGGTGTATTTTTATAAAACTGCAAAACAACAAAACCATATCTTGGACTTGCCCTAGTTTGGAGCCCTAGCTTCTGACTGGGTGCACGCCGGTCGGGATACCCCGTGACGATACATTCGTACATCTGCCATACACTAAATGCATGTCAGCTATGTGATGTGACGAATAGTTAGACATGTTTTTATCCGAAAAGTACGTAGACACTGTAAACTACAACAAACTCAGCAGGATATCTCGGTGAAGGAATAGCACACAAAACGGAACGGAATAGTAGCGGTCGCAACGCAGAGTAGAGGTGAGCGTTATTTAACGTAATCGTTTCCAGAAACTGCTTACGAGGCTGATAATCGTATACCCAGTTTCGTGGACAAAAATGTAACGATTATTTTACGTACGCAGTTGACACTCACATAACGACCGGCGCACGCGTAAGCGTTTCGTTTTGAATTTAAACAGATTATTATTAAGAAATGATTATAGGTACCTAATACGATATACGACTCGCACAGCGAGAGTAAAGAGTCCCTTCGGGATAGGTATGGCTTACAAGCAAGGTAAAAAGAGACGGTAATATTGTAATCGGTGCGTCTTTTTTAAAATGCCCATGCGAATTCATGCCCAATTGGAAACAGTTAAGGTTCATTGTGATAATGTTTTTTTTTAAGAAATTGCGACCTTGACCAGTGTTTCTGTTAGAATTTTAGGTAGTTAACGAATGCAAGGGATGATTGACGAATGTTATTGTCTCGAGTCTGTTAATTGAGTTCTTAAAAACTTTTTACTTTATCCCAACCTAGCCGCTTTGCTACGAAGATACGGGAACATAGTCACTACTCACTACCTCCGTTCCTTGTGAGCGAATATTTAGTAAAATCGGACTTAAAATCAATGAACGTCGCACCCGTCTGGAAACAAATAAATTTGCCCAATCAACTTATTTACATGTAAATTTGGATCCAAACAGATTCAAAGTTTAAATATTTAAATCAAATTGCAAAATATGCATAAACTAAAAATAGAAAAAAAAAACTGTATATAAAATCCTCAGATTATAGAAATAGACAGATAGAACATGCGCAACAAACGATGTAAAGCCACTTATTATTTAAGTGTGCGTGACAGCTAGGAGCGGCATTGTAGGGACACGTGCACCTATGCGTGTGTAAAGTTACCAGATATTGAGAAAAAACTCCCAATTTCCCAACTCCAAATTAAAAATGTGCATTTGCTTTATAGGTTATTAAGTAGTATTTGGACAGAATAATTATTTATTAATGATTCAATAAAAGTTAAATACGCATAATTAATTACATTTAATTGATTTTATTAATTTATATCAGACAATAAAAATATTTTATAACACTTTTTGGACATTTCTCTATTATCATATAATAGGTATATTATAATTGAAAAACATAAGTAATTCAATTACAACAGTTAAAGTTAAAGTTAGGTGTAAAAAATAATTGTAATAAACAATTATTTTACACACCTAAAATCTTAACAGCCTTTGTTTTGCACTAATTTCTTATAATATTGCCGTTTAGCGTCTAAACATCGAGCATTCGTTTCTAATTTTGCTATATAGTGCAATTGAACCATTAAATACTTTTCTATTAATAATTTTACAAGATTAATTTTGTGATCAACTCCATAACATTGATGATCATTCTCCAGATTCATAAAAATCGTTTGGTTGCCAATAAAACTCTTTAGAACCCGTGAAGTTACATGCCTATAATCATTTTTTGTGCCTTGTCGGATTGGGGGCGACTAAATCTAGTCCAGTTTAATCCTCAGAAGACACAAGTTTGCGCGTTTACCGCTAAAAAGAACCCCTTTGTCGTATCTCCTCAGTTTCAAGGCACTCCCCTTCTTGCCTCAGCCAGTATCGGTATCCTCGGAGTCGACATATCGAGTGACGTGCAGTTTCGTGGTCACTTGGAAGAGAAGGCCAAATTGGCCTCTAAAAAGCTTGGCGTGCTCAGCAGAGCGGGACAGTATTTCATGCCGGCACACCGCCTGCAACTTTACAAGGCGCAGGTTCGGCCTCACATGGAATACTGTTCCCATCTCTGGGCAGGGGCTCCCCAGTGCCAGCTCCTTCCACTTGACCGCATCCAGCGCAGAGCGGCTCGAATCGTCGACGACCGAGCCCTTTCCGATCGGCTCGATTCATTGGCACTGCGAAGA